TTAGGCAAAAACAGCCTCTTGGTTCCTTGAAGTCTAAAAGGCCAAGAGAACCTGTTCAGCTTCTCTCCCTTATACCTTGGCTAGTATATTACCTTAGGGTAATTAAGGAGGGGTTAACTACAGACAGTAGGTTAAGCTCCTGGAAAAGGCACTATTAAGTCAAAATAATATAAAGTTGATTTTTTTTTCAGAAGAGGAACATAATCAATAGTTACATTTTTAACAAATGTTGATGTTCTAACATTTTATAGAAATGACCACAATCACCATTTGATTATAAATGAACCATATAAGACATGCCTGATAGAGTACATGCCACTATATAGTACCATATAAATAATATGAAACTATTAAAATATTTTTGTCAATAAAGTTTTATTTAAGAACTCTGAAAAAGAGTTATGATGGTATAAGGAAATAGCATTTCACTAAAGAGGGTCTTCATTTTCTATACCGATAAGACAACTCAATAATTCTGACTATGACCTTCAGATGACTGTCAGTTCTTAAAAGCAATAGCTAGAAAGTCTTCCAGTGAAAAGAGCTGCTCTTAAGAGTGCAAGAGGTAATTTTCTGTACTGAAGCCAATCAGGAAGCGGATTATTATTTGTATGGGTAATGCCTATAACAAAATACTTGAAATATCACAATACATTAGTTCCAATGAAGAGAGAGGGCTGAAAACTGTGGCATAGGTTCCAAGTTGCTAAACAGTGCAAAGACCCAGTAGATAAGGACCATAGAAATGTCTGGTATATAGCTGACACTGCTCAATTAATTTGAATACCCAAATCATAACCAGTTAAATGAGAATCTATAACAATATGTAATATTATATCTACAACTAGTTTGTCATTCTAATCTTTACTTGGGGCTATGGTTAAAAACAAGAGTTCTGCAGTCAGAGAGACTAAGATGAAAACCTGATTCTGTTCTTTATCTATGGGGAAAATAATGGTATCCACCTTTAAAAGCTGTTTCAAGGATTAGACGACATAATGCATTTATAATGCTTGACTCAATATCTGGTACGTGGTGAATGCTCAAAAAGTGGTAAATATTATTGTTAGCTATTAATATTATTTTATAGTACATTAAATTATTTTGTGGTACATCCACTAATGATCTTCCTGGACACAGTAAAAGAATTTGTCTCACACTAAATTCTATACTAGTAAACTATTAGCAAAAAATTTCTGATACTCTTTATTTTAAAAAGCACATCATGAATATTCTATCTGTATGGATAATTCAGTTCAACATATGATATAATCACATGGATTAACCTAATAACATTAATTCTCAGTCCCTTTCAAATTATTTGGTTTAGCGCCTTAATTTTTTATTTGTACCAAACATATATTTACAGTTTAAAGACTAATCATGTTAGATGTATATTTCTCATGTCATTTTTTTTTAACGCCATTATTGTTTTTCCCCTATGGATAAACTTTGTTATTAAAATTTCATTTTTCATGGTTGGTTACAGAAATACAACTGATTTTTATATACTGATTTTGTATCCAGCAACTTTACTAAGTTCCTGTTATCTCGATTGCTTATCTGTATATTATTTTGAGTATTCTAATCTAGATATCTAATTATATAATCAGTGAAAAATGACATTTGTATTTCTTTCTTCCCTGTCTACCCACCCATGCAAGCTTCCACCTATTTCTTGCCTGTTTTGCCCAAGACTTCTAATACAATGTTAAATAGAAGTATGAGCAGGCACTGCTATTTTGTTCCTAGTCTCAGAGATAACATTCCAGTGTTTCACCATTAAATGCAATGACTGTTGTAGGTTTTGTATACTACTATTGTTAAAGTTTAAAAAACTTCTTTTATACTTTGACAGTGCTTTAAAAAAATTTTTAAAACACAACTATGTTGGATTTTATCAAATGTATTCTACTCAGCTATTCAGATAAGACTTTAATCTGTTTATGTGGTAGAGTACACTCATTAATTTTGTAGTGTTAAATCAACCTTCCATTTTTGGGAATGATCTAATTTGGATTTGATATTTTATCTCTTTCATAGAGTAGTTTTAATACATTATCCTTTTCACAGAGTATTTGTTTTATATATGTATATATAGTCACTTCTTACTATTTGTGGCAGTTATGGTATATAAAGTCACCACAAACACTAAACCATGGCTCCTAAGGGAAATATAGGCTTAGGTCTCTGGTAACAACATTTTTCTCAACAGATCAGCAGATAGCTTGGATGTATATGTGTTTCTGTGTAAAGATATTTTATTTAATATACATTGATTTATTAACACAACTCACAGTCAACACCATTATAACTCATGCCTAAAGGAAGCTTACCTCTCATAGGCATTTTCTCTGTAAGGCATTTATTAATATAGCTTTGTTGTGCTTAGATACAATAGACAGAATTTCAACACTATGCATTGGGGCCATTTTAAAAGCAATATCATAAAAAATGCAAAAAATGTGACCCTAAATAGATTGAGAAATGGACATTTCCTTATACAATCATGCTCTACATAACAACATTTCAAAGTTTGGACTGCATATATGACGGTGGTCCCATAAAATTATAATGAAGCTGAAAAGTTCCTATTACTGACATTATAATGTAGCAATGTATTACTCACATGTTTGTGGTGATGCTGGTGTAAACACACCTACTGTTCTGCCAGTCATATAAAAGTATAATACACACAATTATGTATAGTACATAATACTTGATGATTATAATAAACAACCAATAGTCATTTATTTATCTACTATATTATATTCTTTATCATTATTTTAGAGTGTATTCTTTCTTACAAAAACAAGTTTGTGTTGACAGTGCCAGCAGCAGCCTTATATATCTCATGATTATCTTGGCTCTCGATTACATCATTTTCTTGTGTGCTTGATTTAATCTCAAGCTGTTTTATACAGTAACATCCTGTACAGGCTTGTAGCCTAGGATCAGTGGGCTATATACCATATAGTCCAGGTGTGCAGTACGCTACATACCATCTAGATTTGTGTAAGCACACTCAATGATGTTTGTACAATGAGGAAATAACCGAACAACGCATTTCTTAGGACATTATCTTGATGTTAAACAATGCATGACTGTACTTGATTGCTGCAACAAGACAGAGTGTTTCTTGTTCAACTTCAGCTGGGAAGGTGTGTGTCAGATGACTCAACTTTTTCGACACTCTGCACATATCCACAAATAACTGAAAATGCCATGAGTACTGATACTGGATTTAGAAAAAAATTTTAGCAAGATTACATTGCAGATACGAATTTGTAAGTAATGAGGAGTGACTGACTATACATATATTTTAGGATTTTTGCATCTGTTCCTGAGTGAGACCAGATTATTAACTTTCCCTTTTTGTACTGTCTATGGAGGGTTTTAATATCAAGGTTATACTAGACTCCTAAGATGAGTGTGAGAGATTTCCTTATATTCTATTTTTAAAGAGTCTGTGTATAACAGAATTCATTTTTCCTTGAATGCTAACTAGAATTTGCTGATGAAGCCATATGGGCCTGGAGTTTTACTTTCGAGAAGTTTTTTAACCACTGATTTAATATCTTTAATGATTATGTCGTTCTGTTAAATTTATGATCACAAAATTATTCATTGTACTTGTTATCTTTTAAATGTCTTCAAATCCTTTAAATTCCGAAATTGATTATTTGTGACTTTTGCTTTTTGTAATCTGCCTCAGATATTTAACATTTTAATACTGTCTTTACAAAATTCTAAGTTTTATCTCTGTTGATCTTTCTTCCTGCTCTTATCTTTATTTCTTTTTCGCTTTTTTTTGGGGGGGGGTGATACTTATTTGCTGATTTCTCTTTTTGAGATAGATTCCTAGTTCATTAATTTTCAGCTTTTCTTCTTTATAATATATGCATTTAAGCTATAAATTTTCCTCTAAGTGATGCTTTAGCTATATCCACAAATTTTAATATAAAGCATTTTTATAACATTTTTTGATAAGTTTTTTTTTTCACAAAAAAGTATTATTTAGTTGAAATATTTTCT